CACTCTTTAGAATCGGCTCTGGCAACACATGGCATGGACAGTATCCCATAGAGCTCATTATCACAGCAGTCCTGGGGACTGCTTTCCCCCTTTCTCCCTTTTCATTTCTACAGTCAGGTAGTGTTGGTGGGGAAGGAACATTGAGCTTAGGGCCACAAAAACTGAGGTTGAATACTGACCAGGGCACTCAAATGAGCACGTAAGCCCCTTAATCTTTCAGAACCTGTTTGAACACCTGGAGAACAGACCCCACACCATTGCTCCCCTCACTGACTGACACCAGGATGAGATGAGGGGGCTTGTGTGTGTTGGGGGCTTGCTCAATTCTTGGAACATGTATATTCTTGGTAAGTCTCAGAACAAATACAAGAGGGCTTCAAAATAAGGGTTCCATTCAATTGGAATGAAAGGATAAGAGAATTTTTCCATGACCTTGTGGAAGCCACCTCATATGAATCTTTCGGCACAGGATAAGCTTGTAATGAATAATTATCGTCAGAGGATAAGCCAAAAAAAACCCGAACAAAGTTTCTCTCTTAGATTCATTTACAGCAACAAACACTTGAAGTAAGAGCAGTAAAGTGACAAGCTTATCAGTGACAAAGACAAACCAGGGACCAGGTCTCTGAGTTGGTCTACACATTTCCCGTGTTGAACTCCTTCCAACTGAAAGGACACATTCCTGCCAGATGAGTACCCTTAAAACAGAACATTCTGCCCCTGATCAAAGCCTTTAGTGACTATCAGTGGCCTCACACATAAAGCTGCTTGTCTCCTCCTACTAGCTCAGGTCCTCTGATACTTGTCCTGTTCTTGCTTCACCCATTAACATCTCCCTCGAGGCAGCTGGGCATACATAGGGAGAAAGACCGTCCAGTGAGGCAGTGAAGAAGTAAGAGATTGGTGATAACTTTAAAGGGGAGGGAAGTGATTATGGAAGTCCAATGCTGCTGGCAGGTCAAGTAAATCAGGTCTGATGCGTAATCACTGAACTTGAGAATGGGGTGGTCACTAGGTTCCTTGACAAGAGGAACCAAGCCTGGGTAACTAGGCTGACTCAGAGGCCTGGGTTCTGAACCCAGGCGTGTCCCCACGACAAAGTCTGCAGCAGTACCCTCACGCTTTCTCCATACTGTGTCCCCCCCATCTGACTGAGTCGCCCTTCCGCCTCTCCTTCCCCTCATGCCCAGATTCATCCTCTTAAACAATGTGGCTCCTATGATCCCTCTGTCCTAGAAGTTTCCCTAATGCCATCTTGTCAGATGGAACTGGAATAGCATTCATTTTGGTTTAGAAGGGTCTACTGGTGACTATGGTAAGGTTTTGGTTGAGGGGATCAGTCCTTATAAGGATAACGAGAAATAGGCTCTGTGAGTCCACCCAGAGTTATGGCAACGTGCTTACAAATGGGAGGTATCAGAGACTGCTGCTACTACAGGTGGGGCAAGTGTGTCTAAACAAGGGCATCCCAAAGAGTAAGCCATGAGCACAGTCTCATGGGGTGCAGCTCAGTCGGCTATGCTAAGGGAAGAACAGCGTAGCAATGGTGGGTGGTGAAACGAGGGCTTGACTGTGGTTTAGGGAATCGGGGCTCTGAGCCCAGCTGGCTCTGAGCAGTGTGACCTTGGAGGAAGCCATTTGGGGATGTAATTTCTTCATTTATGACATGAACCAATTGTATCGCATCAGCTCAAAGCTCTTCCACCTACCTGGGTTAATTCTTGGAGTAGAATATAATGAATGATATTAAAATTTATTTATTAGTACACGTGACTTTTCTCTCTAGGTAAATGATAAAATATCAGAGGATAGGTTTATACTTTTCTGCATAGCTATACAACAAAATTTTAAAAAATTTTATATGCTGTAAGGGAAATGCCCACCACTTGTCTGCTAGTTTGTCACACTGTGGTGGTTTGTTGGACGATGTGAAGAACTTGGCATCAGGATTGGAGAAAGGCTTATTAATAGCCTTCCGTATGAAGATGATACAATCTTACTTGACCAGGAGAAGGATTTGAATCACTTGCTAGTGAAAATCAAAGACTGCACCCTTCAGCATGGATTGCAACTCAATGTAAAAGGAATAAAAATCTTCACAGTTGGCCCAGTAGATAATATATTATAATAATAAATGGAGAAAGATTGAAGCTGTCAAGGATTTCACTTTATTTGAATCTGAAATCAATGCTCATGGAAGCAGCAGTCAAGAAATCAAATGCATTCAATTGGACAAATAAGTTTCATAAGACCCCTTTAAAGTGCTCTAAGTTTAAGTGACATCCTTAAAGATGGCACTTTAAGCACTAAAGAGTGCCTGACCTAAGCCATGGTATTTTTGATTGCATCATATACATATGAAATATGGACATTGACTATTGAAGATCGAAGAAGAATTGATGCATTTGAATAGAGGTGTTGGCAAAGAGTATTGAAAATACTGTGGACTGCCAAAAGAACAAACATATGTCTTGGAAGAAGTACTGCCAGAATGCTCCCTAAAAGCAAAGATGACAAGACTTCATCTGATGTGTATTTTGAATGTGTTATCAGGTGAGACAAATCCTGGGAAAAGGACAACATACTTGGAACAGTAGAAGGTTATCAAATAAGAGAAAAACCTTCAACAACTTAGATTGACAATGTAGTTTGCAACAATGGGTTATAACAATGATTATGAGGTTAGTGTAGGATGGGGCAGTATTTATTCTGCCGTGAGTCAGGATTGACACACCCTCGGCTAATAAAAACTAGGGGGATAGACACCAAAATGAGTTGTACACAGGCCCAAGCTCAAGAATCTCCCTCTAACCTGCCGCACCGATCTTTTCCTCCAGTCATCCAATCATGTATTTCCTGGGAGCTCCACTCTATAATATTCCAGAGGCCTATAAAGGTTCCGAGGCCCTAGGTGGTATGAAGAGTTAACAGGCTCAGCAGTTAGCCCTCATCAGAAAAGATGGAGGTTCAAGTCCACCCAGAGGTGTCTTGAGAAAAATGCTTGGTGAGTGGAAATCTCCTAGAGCACAGTTGTGCTCTGGCACACAGGGCACAGAGAATGGACTCCTTGTCACCCGGGGGGTTGGTTATAAGGGTCACCCGGGGGTTGGTTATAAGGGGTTTAGGGTCCGATTCACCCACTGGCTTTTTGCCTCTTAACCCTGCTGACTTAGAGTGGAAGAAATCAAGACACAAGAGTTGGTCTAAAAAAAAACATGAGAGAGGCTATTGGAACGGAACTGTCCTAGGTAATCTAGCCCAAAGAGGAGGATGTTTCAGCTGGTGGTGGCTCTGGCATTCCAAGCTCAGAGTACATGCTCAGGAATATCAGTCCACCATGGCAGGGCTATCCTACAAATGGTAGAGAATGATACCGAGTCAAAAGCTGAATAAACAACTCAAACCAGTAAGGGGTGAGGAAGAGCTCCAGAAAAGACCCTAAATTATTCTCTCTAATTTACAAAAGGTGACAGGGTTGCTGGAAAGAATAAAAACAAATGTCACAACTATGTATTATTGCTTTTCCCATGAAATGCATCAGTGACAACAGAGAATAAATATGTTTTTTCCCACCGCTGTTCTATATTCTTTGACAGGTTTCCAGTAGGTCAGCACAATATGGAACAATAATTGATAGTTGCTCGCAAGTCAAGGCTGATTCATGGCAATCGCATGTATGTCAGAGTAGATTTGGACTTCATGGGTTTCCAACACTATGACCTTTTGAAAGCAGGAAGTAGGCGGATTTGGAGGCAACTGGTGTCCATTTGAATGATCAGTAGAAACAAGCCAGAAGGATGGGTCAGAACAGTAAGTCAACATAGGTTCAAACAGTAAGTGGAGTGAACCGGACTTACTTGACTCCTGATTTTTAGAAAGTGGGACCCCCCTGGGGACCTTGACTTATGGGAATGTGTCTGAACTGCTGAGCAGTTTACTCCTGGTGCCTCTGGGTGAGTTTTAGCAAGGAGTTCAGCACTTCCACTTTTACACCACCGAAGGACTACAGAGCAACAGTAATTGGCACTTTTTGAGTACTTATCTCTTCTCAGGAACTGTGCTAAGCACAGTTATATGCCATCTCATTTAATCTTCACAAGAACGATACAGTATACCTATTTCATCTCTATTTTACAAATGAGGAAATACAAGAACACAGAGAGAGTAAATAATTCAGGTGAAGTCAGGAGCCAGAATTTAAAGCTGGGAAGTGAGACCCAAAACCATGGCATTAATCCCTTTGTTCCACTTCTTCTCTCTTTAACACTGCGTGTGACATTATGTCAAGACAAATAATATTTCTAGTTAGTTAACTGGTTCCTAATTGGCACATTAATACATATTATGTGGGATTTATTAAATGACTATAAAGTTTGCACCATTGTGGAGTTATTTCAGCTCAGGTGTTGTATTGCAAAATTCAGCCTGATTCAATTGTGTTGTTGGTATAGTGTGGCAGTTCGATAATCTCCGGTCAACTTGAGCGAAGGAGTGGAGTCTAGCCTGTCAATCAGGTTGCAGCTTGATGACCTCACTAAGAGGCGCAACAGAGATAAATAGCTCACTAGAGGCCAGACTCATTCTCTCTCCTTCACATTCCTGATGACAAGCGAGATGGAGCTATGCTGATGGAGCCAGAGCCCTGGAGCTGGAGGAACCATGTGGATGCAGTGCTGGAATGCTCTTGCCGCCACTGGATCCACAAGACTTTCCCCCACTGGCCTGTGATCTTCCTGCATTTGGTGTCATTGCATGTGTTGCATGAGTCTGAGGAGGAATTTATAGACTGGCATCAGACATATGAGCCAATATAGGGCTTATGGACAGGATTGGGATGTTTGCTCAATATATAGTTTCTCTTTTATATAAAGCTCTCTCTTATACACATGAGTGTCTCTGAATTTGTTTCTCTAGTCAACCCAGACCCAAACAGTTAGCCAAATGGCCTTCTTAACATCCCAGTGTGAGGAACAGCATGAGTGTGGTTGATAGAGACTCACCTGAACTTAATGCATGTTCGACTTGCTCCATGATCACCCCTGGAGAGGCAGTGGTAGTCTCAATGCCTGTCAGCTCACAGTTGACCGTGGTTGGCACAGTGGCCTGGGCCGTTGTCTTCTTGATCGCCAGCTCAGTAGTAGCATGTGAAGTAGGTGTGTGGCCTGAAGTATGCTCTTCTGTTGAGGATACAGCTGAGCTCAGGGTTCCTTGGGGCTTGGTGCCGGTCACTGCTAAGCCATGGTCAGTGGTGACAGAGGCAGAAGGGCCCTCGGGTGATAAGGTTGATAAAGGTGAGGGTGATGAGACTGGTGCTTCAGGGGAGATGAGTGTGGTAGGCTCAGCTGGTGACTGGGACCCTGTAGATGACACACTTGCACCAGAAGGGCTTAAGCTGGGTTCTGTAGGTGTGGATGTTGAGTGGACTCCGGTGCTGGTTGTCAAGACCCCAGGAGATGAAAGATCTATGCTTGTGCCTTCCCAATGTGAAGCCTGCTGGGTGGTCTTCTCCTCTCTCGGCTCTGTGGAATTGTCTTTTGGGAGCGGAGATGTTCGGGCCGACGATGTCACGGGTCGTAATGAGTTGCTGTGTGTGCCACTGGTGGGCGAGGCGGTGGTTGCAGTAGTGTTTTGTGGCGAGCTAGTCCAGATGGCCGTCGGCGATGTAGTTTTTGCAGGAAGAGAGACAGGCAAGGGGGCTGATGAAGGCAGACTCTGGACCCTCAAACCTGCAGAAGAGTGAGTGCAAAGGCGGTTAGTGTGTGAGAGCCGGAGAGGTCAGGCTGCTGTACAGCACTTTCACCCAGATTCCTTTCTTTTTCACTGCGGCCTCCTCAATTTGAAGGTGATCTTTTTATGTCTTTCTTCCCATTAACTGTTCTCCCCTTCCTTTGAGAGGCAGTCCCTGGATGAGGCAAACCGTTAACATGCTCAGCTGATAACCACAAGGCTCGAAGGGAGACCACCCAGAGGTGTCTCAGAAGAAAATCTTGCCTATGTAGTTCTTTTAAAAATGACCCATTGAAACCGTAGGGTGCATAGTTCTTACTCAGACACACATGCGGTTGCCAGGAGGTAGCGCAGACGAGAGGAAACTGGATTCCCTTTGGAGTGACCTGTAGAAATAGCCAGAAGGCTCAGTAAGAACAATAGGAGGGCCAGTCAACATAGGTTCACACAGCATGTGGAATGAACCGGTCTTATTTGAAACCTTGCTCTTAGAAAGCGGGGCTGTCTGGGGACCTGGACTTGATGGGACTTGGTTTAGACTGGTGAGGAGGAATCTCCTTCAGGAAGCCTGCGGGGTTCTGGAGGTCGAGGGGGGGTGGCGTGGGAGCCCTGGGGAGTGAGGAGAGTGTGGGGGGTGCTGCGATGCCCGGAGCTCCTCCAGGGGCGGTTCTCTGCCACCACCAGGGCTGTCAGGCCTGCACTTACCCACAGGGAGGCAAGGAACAGAACAAACCAGGGTCGTCACACCTTGTCTGTGGACGAAGGACGAACCAGAGATCCTCGAATCAGAGCTCAAAGGCCACTCTGAGCACCTGATCCGATCTTACTTTTCCAATCAGAAATCTGAGGTTTGGAACTATTTCCTGGGACTGAAACCCAGCTCTCCCAAAGCCAGGCGAGGGCTTCTCGCACTTCGAGTGTTATCGTTTTGCCAGACCTGTCCCTTCATAGTCTGTAAACCTTAGTTAAGTTCCACTCTCCTGCTGTCCCTCCCTTAATTTACTTATTCCACTTCACTCATTCAACGAGTACTTTATACATCATTTTATGTGCTCGCACTCTGCTCCATACAGGGTTTATAATTTCACTTCCATTTTATTGTCGATAAATCTTTTCTTCTTATTATAATGTCTCGTTGTGTTTTTGGTGAATGTTCCCAGAGTAAACTAGCTAACTAGGTGCCCGTTTTACAATTTCTATGCATTTGGTTCAGGGACGATGGTTTACATTTCCCACAGTGTATCGGCATTCTCATTGCTTCCATTCGGGTTCACGTTGTTCCCATTCCGCTCATTCAGCTTCCCTGTGCCTCCCCACTTGCTATTTCAAGTTTGCTTAAAGTAAATATTCACCATTTGATCTCATAGCGATGCTTTTTTCACTTATTCATTCCCATGTGTTATTGCAAAGTAGGTGGGAGTTTACATTTTGGAGTGGAGATGCTTTTTTTGAAGCACGATACTCCCCGGGCCTTGTCTATTTTGTGGGCCTACCTGCTCTGTAGCACCCAGGTGACGTCCGAGTGAGGTTTCAGTGTAAAGTGACAAGGAAACCTCACGGTGATGTTATCAGGAGTGCCTCTAGTCTCTGCGGTCCAGCGAGAAGCCTGGCTGTTGCTGCTGCTGCCTTTTGAAGAATGTGAGCTGTGTCCAGAATGGTCAGGCATGGTAGCTGGGCACCACCTGGTTCTGGCTTCGGGTTGGAGGAGGTTGTGGTATCCAGAGGATATTAATAATCTACTTTATTCTTTGAGACTTTGGTTTCTATCTTTCTCCTCTGCTCCAAATGAGTACAGACCAACAGCTGCATCTTAGGCGGCTACTTACAAGCTTTCAAGACCTCAGATGCCCCTCACCAAAGTAGGATACAAGCATAAAGCTTCTGAAATACGTTATGCCAATTGACCAGTTTGTCTCACAAAGCTATGATCCAAAGCCATCCAATCCCGTAAGCCAATCCTACTGAGGGCTTTGAGTATTTCTAGAAAGGGTCTGCACACTTTAGTGAATCATGGCCTTCTAGTTAAAATCTTTGTAACTTCCACCAAAAGACTGGGTAGCACTGTGAGGTACTTGTGACTCACTGAGCATCAGGGGCACATCTGACTTCTGGCTACACAGGCACATGGAGAACTACACAAAGGTAATTCTTACCAGGTGGAAGTAATGCATGTCTCCACTTTTTGACTTTCTCTATCTTATTCTGACACAAATTGTCCCTCCTATGGCACTCTATTTCTCTGCTAGATTTTATAATTCATCGAAATTCCCACACAGAGCTTACAGAAAATACTCATGATTATGGGATTTGATAAGGAAGCTTGCAGGTTACAAAATGCTAAGCTAATAGTTCTTTCTCTGTAGTGCCTCTTCTCAGCCATGATGGCTCTCTCTAGTCCTCAATTTTTCAGACCCACAGTCTCTTGGCCTCTTTCCTGCTTGGGTAAGTGGAGAAAAACCCCTTTAGCACCAGTAACTTTCCAAAGGACAATCCCTTCAGTAGCCAGCCTCCTCCCTGGAGGCACTCATTATGGGCATGACTGAGAAGAGGCTTCTCTAATTGAAGAGCTGTATCCTGAGCCTTTCTGATCCTGAACTGTAACCTGTTAATTTCCTTATGAATGCACATCATTTTCAATATTGCTTATGAGTTCTTTATGGTCATTGCAACAAATTGAACTCAGCAGAGAAACAGAGAGTGCTGTGGGAGGCACAGTTTGTGGCAGAATTGATTTTTAAAAGGTTGAAAGATGGGAGCATGTCTCCACTTCATCAGAATTATCCTTGAGGTGATGCTAAGGGTAAATCTCCTCCACTTCATGAAGTTCAGGAAGGTCAGGTACCACTCCTGTGACATTTTGACCAACGTAACTGTTCTCCTATGCTTTATTATATATGTGTATACATATATACATATAATTCACACTCATATATATATATACACATACACATGCCTTCTCATATGCATATACATGTACCCATATATATGCACACATGCATCCCTGTACATATGTATACACACATATTTACATATGTAAGCACACCCATATATTTTGTTTGTTATAGCTGTTGTTGCAAAATGACAATTGCACTTTCCATGTACCACATCTCTTCCTTCCCCTTTGCTGCTCCCTAAGTGGCTTTCTCCCTGGTCATTTCCATTTCAATAGCGGGTACCTCTATTCACACAGTTGGGCAGTTAAAAACTGAGACATGGTGTGGGTGTTTCATCCCCCATACTCCACATCAACTCTATCCAGGAATCTAATGACTCAACATTCAAAATATATCCCCATACAACCACAGTTTACCACCTCCTCCATTATCTCAGTATCACTTGAGCCACCAGTCATAGGTCTAGGCAACTGCAGTGGTCTCCTAATGGGTCTTTGACTTTCAGGTTTCCTCCCCTTCTGTTTACTCTCCACATAGGAGCCAGCATGGTCTTTAAAACTCATAAAGCAGATCATGTTAGCTAATTACTGAAAATGCTGTTAAAAACATCCTATTGAGCTCAGGCCAAAATCCATTAATTGCTTCCTTTCTCCCCACCATCCAGTCTCTAGTTAAATATCACCTCCTCCTCAGAGGGGACTTCCAACTAGATAATTTCTACTCATTAGGCCCTTGCCCAGTTTTATTTTTATTCATGATACTAGCTTCTTTCTGAAATTGGATATTTACTTTTAAATGTATTAATGATCTATTTCTTCTACTAGAATGTATGTCCCATGAAGGTGCTGGACCTGGGTCTTCTTCATTACTGTTTCCCTGGAGCCCAGGAAAGGGCCCAACTCTTATGAAGTGCTCACCATGTCCTTGCAGTAGGGAGGGAAAGTGAAGAAAATGATGAGCCTAAGAACTTCATCTAAGAATACTGTGTTAGTCTGGGTAGACTAGAGACACAAATCCACAGAAATGCAAATGTATATAAGAAAGAGTTTTATATAAAAGGTAAGTGTGCATTAAGAAAGCATCCCAACCCGGTCTAGTCAAAGCCCATAAGTCTGACAGTAGCCCATATGTCTGACATCAATCTACAAAGTCCTTTTCAAACTCAGAAAACACATGCAATGATGCCGACTGCAGGAGGAAAGCTGAATCAGTGAATGTGTAAGCATCTCAGCGCTGACAGGAGTCTCCACACGGCTGTTCTAGCACCCAGGGCTGCATCGGGGTAGGTCCATGTGGCTTCTCCTTAGGAATGTCTCACAGGAAGTGAGTCTTGCCAGCTGAGGCAAAGAACTAGCTAAGGCAGCTGCACCTTGTTGTGACCATCAGAGAACCAGAGACCAGAGAACAAGAGAGGCGAGGCTCACCAAGCCATTTATCTCTCTGCCCCTCAATTAATCCCACGTGTGTTTATCAGCCAGCTTGGCACAATAAACCTTAACTATCACAAGAACTCATAACATCTCTCCATCCCATTGTACAGTGAAGGCCACACCCACCAGGTCTTCCTCAGGGATGGTGGCCTACCTCATGGTCTTTGAGGGCAGGAACAATGTTTAAAATGTCAGCCTCTCTCTTTGCCATTTTGCCGTGACTCATGCCTACACCATATGCCTTGTTACCTCTTCAACTATTCCTCTCTTGTATCCTGAGGAGATTTCCTTGGGGATGACCAAGATAACCCTCACCCATGACCTGGACCCAGAGAATGCAGCATTGGCCAGATTCCGACACAGAGGAAGGGAGGAAAGATGAGCAGGGAGGAATTTGGGCACTTGGATCAATTCTGCTCACTTCCTCCTTCTATCGTTCAATGTACAGTATTCAGTAGCTGAATGAAACCTGTGATATAGAATGTGCCACTGAAAACAGCTTACTACTCATTATTTTCCTGAATTTATCTGACGTGTCATCAAAATAATGGGAAAGAAAAAGTGGTTTAACGTAATAAAATGATAGTCAAAACCATCGCTACAGGAGAACTACTCTCCTGTTAAACAGGAAGACAGGTCTCCTGACATAGACCACCTAGCATGACACGATGCCAC